GGAAATAATATTTTCAAAACAAGGAAACTCTTTAGAAGAATAATTCCTATTATAAATCAATTAATGACAAATTAAAAGAATTAAAAGCTACAAGGACTCTTCCCTTCTTTAGCTCATGGTATATGAAAACTTGTGGCACAAGTTTTATTAATTCTCGTACAATTAGAATCCATAGGATTCTAACATATATATATACCCATCACCTTTTACCAGAAAATATCAAATTTCAATGATATATTGCATTCATGCTACAAGTTGTATGCCCTCCTACTGTTATAGTCAATCATGCTAATTAAGTTGTATGCAGTATGCCCTACTGTTTATAATCAATTATCGCTAAAAGTTAGAAGATATTTCATATTTATTTGCTTTCCTGGATTTTAAAGTTACAAAATATATTAGAAATTAATATTTTGTAAAACCAACCCCAAAATAATATTTCTGAATTATATATATATATATATAAATAAATATATCTATCTCGAAATAAAATCATGATACTTTGACTTGTCCACATATAAATAAATATACCTAATAATAATAGGGAAAATATGCAATACCCTTCGTTTAGAAAATATTTCGAATTAAACTTAATTGACTTTAAAGACTTTTCTCATAACCCAAATTTCAATCTAAATTAGTTAGACCCCCTTACCACATATAATAAGACTCAAGTGCCCCTATGTGTTAGGTTGTTAACGTGATACAATTTTGTTTCACTCTTGTGCATCTCTGTCTTTCATTCTCTCGCTCTCTGTATCACAGTTGATTTTCTTCTTCAAATCTGTAAATCACCGCCGCTTAAGTCAACAATATCCTTCAAACGCCGCCGGCCGAAACCCGTTGTAGGAGGCCCTCCTTCGCCGATGTTAGAGATCGTCACCCCCCTCGTCCAACACCACCACATCGACGCCTGGTACAAATGGCGGCGGCGCCTCCCCTACCTCGTCGCCGCCCTCCGTCGGATGCGTGATTTCCACATGGAGATTTTCCTTCTCTCACCGCCGAATACCAATATATACGTTTCAATTTTTTTTTGGAGTGCGACAATTGAATTACAAGATTATATGGTTGTAGTGCAGTACTGTATTTTAGATAGTAGTCATATTTGACAGAGTAGTCATATTTCTACTATCCTGTTCAGTAATTGTTATACAAACCATAGTCACATAATAATCACATTCTCGCTGTTTTGTTAAGAATGCATCTACTGTATATTAATTCCCAATATCTTGTTAATTACACTTTCTTACAAAGCACAGTCACATAATAGTCATATTCTTACTGTTATCTTAATAATTATGCTTCTACAGTATGTTGATTACACTGTATACACAACCTAGTCATATAACAATCATATTCGCATTGTTTTGTTAATGCCTATATCGAGATTTGAATGTGACTACTTCAAATCAAAACCAGAGACTGTATATGAATAGTAGGAGGTGATGGATGTATGACATTGTACCAAATGTTATCGATTTTTTGGTATGTGATTGTAGTTAATTCCGAAGCAAAGAATTTTCAATTTGGGGAGTTTTCACTTTCGTGCGTCTTCTTTAATGAATTTTATGTAATTTGATTTTTTTTTATTATTAAATATGTAAGCAGTTTTGATAGAAAAACATATATTAATGCTAATTAATAGGGAATTAGCTAGGCTCCATATTATTAGGGATTTCGAAAATTATGGTTAGGTGTTACAAAAGCAGATATTAATGCTAATTAATATGAATTTAGGCGCTCATATTATTAGGGATTTCGAAAATTATGGTTGGGTGTTACAAATCATGATAATTGCTGCAAGGGCAATATTGAGAATACATATATATTCTAGGGGGTTATCACAAAGAAAGAATTATGGTATGGACATATCACAATTCTTTTTATCTATATGAGGGGTTATTGCTAATGACCCCATAATAATAATAGTAAATTACCAACAAAAAAAAACCCTGAACTTGGCTAAATTACGAATAACACCCCCACCTATTCATAGATTATCAAAATTCCCCCCAACGTTTGTTTCTGGCTTACACCGACCTCCTTAAGGTGTAATTTTTCACATAATCTTTTTGATTCCATGGAGTATTGCCCCAACAAATGCCAATTCTACTGCCGTCGACGTGTCATTTCTTTATGCTACTTCTAAAAGATAAAAATTACTTTCAAATAGGTAACTGTAATACCAAAAAGTTTATTAAAAAAAAGCTAAAAAGTGTGAAAGTGTTATTTAAGAAGAATAAAGATTCCGTGTAAAGATCCCTCTTAGAGGTAATTTTTGTCTTTAGAAAAGTAGCAAAAGATTCCACGACTCAAAATGATTATGTGGAAATTCACCATAAATGGTCGGTGTAAGACGGAAACAAACGTCGGGGAACTTTGATAATTTCGAATAGGTGGAAGTGTTTTTCGTAATTTAATCTAAGTTCAGAGCTTTCTTTATGATTTACCCTAATAATAATAGTGTTAATGGAGGCCCATAACAAGGGCACTTAATTAAAAAAAGGACAACCAACTTTTTTCTCTTTCGAATATTTCCAGTTCATTCAAACTTATTTGCAAATAAGAAAAATTCTTTTATATATACCAAAATTACCCCCAATTCATTGAAAGTCAATTCAACTCCAATTTCATGATTTACACCCCAATTGTGACCAGCCACCCCCAGAGAACGCCGGTCTCCGGCGTTGACTTTTTTATTTTGTTTTTTCTTAAAAAAAATATGTTCATTAATATTACTGTCTTAGTTGCTAAATTACAGTCTCCAGCAGTTATTTAACTGTTGGAGAGAGTAATTTAACTGTTAATTGATTTTTTTTCCTTAAAAAAATTATTTTAATTAATATTACTGTATTGGCTGCTAAGTAATTACTATCTCCAACAATAATTTAATTATCGAAGATAGTAATTGAACTGTTAATAGACTTTTTTTTTTCGAATTTTTTTTTCTTAAAAAAAATATTTTAATCAATATTACTGTCTTGAGTGCTAAATTACTGTCTCCAACAGTAATTTAACTGAGACAATAATTTTACGGTATTAATTAATTTTATCGTCTTTACCTGCAATTTTACTGTCTTCGACTGTTATATTACTGTGTCCGACCGTAATATTAATGTCTCATGCAATAATATTAGTAATATTAGTGTTCGGGAAAATAATATTCATAATATTACTGTCCTAAACAGTAATATTACTGTCTGAGACCGTAATTTAGCAGCCAAGACAGTAATATTAATTAAAATAATTTTTTTCCTAAGAAAAAAAAAAGAAAAAATCAAAAAAAAAATGTCAACACCAGAATCTGGCCGAAAATAAAGAGTCAGAAAAAAAAATTATTCAAAAATAGGAGTTAATGTGATATATTTGTTTAAGGAAGTTAGAGTATTATGCATAGAATTGATAAAAAAAAATATTATGAATGGTATTTTATACTGAAGACATGGGAATAAATTTATTTAAAAGACTTTATTTTTTTACCAATGTGTATTTGTATTTAAGTCTGTTATCATTTGTCTTTTTGCGGTTTGGCCATAATAATAATAATACCAGTAGACATTTTGGGTGGCACAAAAATCATGTGGGAAGTTGAAAGGTGGGACCCACAGATCACTTCCATTAAAAGATCATCTTCCTTACTAAGACTTGGTCTGGTTTAATTTACTATTTATAGTAACCAGTCTTTTCCATCTTCAAGAGACAAGGAGAAAGTGGGGCATGTATGTAGTATGCATGGCGCTGCTACATGTGCTTCTTCTTCTTCTCTGTGCTTTCTGCAGACCATTAATAATGGAAATATGCGAATCGGGTCATCATCTACTATCCATTTACACAGGCCTCCACGTCACCTAACTCTTCGCTCCGATCTCGGATCTAATGTCTGCGATATGACCACTCATGGTCTCTCTCTCTCTCTCTCTCTCTCTCTCTCTCTCTCTCTCTCTCTCTCTCTCTCTCTCTCTCTCTCTCTCTCTCTCATGTTTCTTTTATATTTTTTTTAATGAATTGTAAACGAAGTTTGTGTAATTTTGAATTGCTAACTAAAAACTCCTAATATTACTAATTAATATTTAGCAAAAAAAAAATTATGAAATATTATGCATATTTTTTAGTGCTCAACCTATAAGTGATTAGTTTTTTTAGGGATTAATTTGCTAAGAATTCAAATCGTATAGGTAGGTTTTGATAATAAAAATATGTTTTTACTACCTCCGATTTTTGTTTAAGTGTCGTTTAAGGTATCTTCTGCATACTAACTAAGAAAATTATTAAACGGTCTTGATTTGTGATCAAAAGTCCTTATTTAATTATTTGACCAAATTATCCGATCCATTTACGAATTTTCGTCTTCTCTTTCTCGTTTCATTAATTTATCATTACCGTTAGGGTAGAGTTGGGAAAATATAATTAATTAATTCATTAGTTAATTAATATTGTCTTGCAACTCTAAAGTGACACTTAATGCGTGAAAAAACATATAAGGTTAAAGCGACACTTCAGAAGAAAAACATATATGTAATAGATATTTTATTCTTCTTTGAATATTTAAAGATTTTTGACACCTTTTTTTCCCCGACGAATTCGCATAAAACACTTTCTTGACGAGTTCTTTCGGAAAATTAGATGTTACACATGGTGATTTACACCAAATGATTGTTATCCGTATATCTGCACATAATCTCATGATTAGCACCCATGTGTATGTCTCCTTAGTTGGAGGTTATTTAACCTCATCTATAATTAACACTCATCCAGTATAAAAAATAACTAGGTGTAGCATCTAATTCCCCGAATATATTTCCTTTTGCAGCTCCAAAAGGTATATTCCCACCGGAGCCTGAAAAATATCGAGGACCAAAGCTCAAGGTAGCTATCATCGGAGCTGGGCTCGCCGGCATGTCAGCGGCAATCGAACTTTTGGATCAGGGCCATGAGGTTTAATTTATTTTCATTCCGACCCGACCCAAACCTACCCAATATTAATATATTAGTTTTTGTTTTCTTTCTTTTTGACCCGACAACCGGTTATGGATATATTCGAATGCAGGTGGATATATACGATAAACGAAGCTCCGTTGGCGGAAAAGTGGGTTCGTATGTAGACAAACGCGGGAACCACATAGAAATGGGTCTCCATGTTTTCTTTGGCTGCTATAGCAATCTTTTCCGTTTGATGAGAAAGGTATAATTCATTCATTAATTAATTAGGGATTCTTTATAATTTTATTTTCTCTACAATTAAATTGAATTTTTTTTTATATATATGTTTTTGTTTTTATTTTGGATACAAGCTGATAAATTATTATTTTTAATTTTTAATTTTGTTTGAATCAGGTTGGTGCTGACAAAAATTTCCTAGTCAAGGATCATACTAATATTTTTGTGAATAAAGGTGGCGACGTTCGCGGTATGATTAATACTCATTATTGACATGCTATATCGGGAGATTTTTAACTATTGATGTGATTAAATAATCATCCACTAAACACACATACATGATACATATATATGTATAGGTGTGTGTGATAATTATTTGCAGATTAACAATTACTAATCAGCCTATGTGTTTCACCCACTGCAATATCAAATAAACCATACTTCAGATATAATTAGCTAATTTCGCAAAGTAAATTATTAATTTGCATTTAATTCAATTGAAGGTAACATGTACTAAAATTGTTGGACGCAGAAATTGATTTTCGGTTCCCAATTGGAGCACCATTTCATGGAATTCAAGGAATTATGAAGACAAATCAGCTTGAGGTACATACTAATTATAATTTCCAATAAATATTTAAACATGTATATGTAAAATATTAAAATATTTAAGCGTGGGTAACATTCAAAAAAGAGAAAGAAAAATTTATTTAAAGGGTAAATAGCAGTAAACCATCCACTGGTTACAAGCTTTTGATCCCCTTGTGTTCGTATTATTAGCACATAATCCCCTTGCGATTTATGGAGTGTAGCGTCTGTTAGTTTTTCCGTCAAACTGAACTGCGTGTGACAAACTTGAAGGGGGTCATCTACAAAAAAATTACTTTGACGTTCAACACAGGCAGTTAAGTCAGGCGGTTAAATTTGACGGAAAAACATAACAAAAACTACCCCCATCAACCACAAGGGCGTTATTTGCTGATGTTACAAATACAAGGGGGTCGATCCTCTGCAAAAGCTTGTTACCACAGGGGGTTTAAGTGCTATTTATCCTAATATGAAAGGCGAAAGTCTAACTAAAAGGACTAAAATACAATAAGTCTAACTAACCGACTAAAATGCAATTTCTATAAACTAGTTTTAAAATCCTAGACTATACTTGGCAATTTAAAAATATTAAAAAAAAAATCATCCTTCTCCAAAAATTGTTTTTGTTTAACGTTTATATGAATTTCTAAATGCATTTCCCGCTCTGAATTTCAGAATAATGATAAAGCAGGAATCGCTATGGCTTTCGGCCTCAGTCCGATTGCAAAGGCTCTCCTTGATATCGATGGAGCAATGCACAACATACGAGATCTCGATAATGTTTGTTTTCTCTCTCTCAAAATAAAATTTTCGATTTCGGGATAAAAAATTTCATTTTGAATTTCAAAATTTCCGAATTCCATTTTTTTCTGAAATTATTTTGACAGTAATTGAAATATATATGAGACTCCGATCCAATGTTGATTTCTGAAAATAATTTCGAAAATTCCATTAAAAAAAGTACACTTAAAATATCATTAATGTGTTTTACATTTTAGGCTAATAAATAAATTTGAATTTCTCGAGTCTAGTTGATTTTTTATCCGAAATTTTTCAATTTGGGAACAATTTTCTTTACTCCAATACCCAAAATTCCCGATTTCCAAATTTCTTTTTCGGAACGAAATTGGAATTAGTTTTTTCACTTCTTAAAAAATTTGAATTTTTTTTGTGAAACTGCTAATTTTGATCTGATTCGTCCGATTTCCACCCCTAGTAAAAATTGATATTTCAATTGTATAATAATATAAGCGAGCAACAATATTGATCTCCTATTAAATCTCGGCGTTGTGTATTTTACAACAGTGAGCGGG